AGGCAGTATCACTACGGAAGTAGATTGCCCCATCTTCCTTCTGAGGAGTGGCTGATGGGTTTGAACCGCCAGCCTTCTGGTTAGCAGTCAAGTGCCTTAGCCACTATGCTACCAGAGCTCCTACTAAGGATACAATAATTTGGTCAGGACAGTCCCTCAGCCTCTTGACTTAGTCTCTGCCTTGTTTAGTCAACTCTTACAAAGCTCTTTAGCTCTGCCAATAAATGCTTGAAGACACCTCACTCCACCAGAAACCCTCCTGCCTAAAGGTGCTCAGCTTTCTTGCTTTGTGGGGAGGGAAGCCCACCATACTGTCTTGCATAGGTCTCCTGGTTCTGCTGCCACTATTTCTCGGCTTCTGCTTTTTGCTGTCTCATGCCATTTCTGGTGTTACAGCTTTCTCTCCTGGGTCTCCTGGGTCTAGGAGTTCTGAGTGCAGGAACCCTGGATCCAAAGGACACATTCCACTCCCAGCTCTTCTTCTTGATGGTAGTGAAGTCAGTCCCTTGTCTCCAATTTTTCACATGGACAATTGTCATTTTCTCAATTTTGTGTGCTATAGAAACTTAGGTTCAAAGCCCTCCTTTCAAAGATTGCTTCCCTGAAGCTCCCCATGTGTGAAAATTCAGTATCCATCCCTGAAAGAAGAGATGAGAGGAGGTGCAAGAGGTAGGCAGTATTATAGATTCTCACTGAGTATACAGTGGAGTGAGCATAAGACAGAGACAGTATAAATCCCAAATGGCAAGAAATAATACTTGTAGCCTTAGTTAAGTTTGAACCAGTGAGGGCATTCTCTGTTCTGAGACTTCCATCAGTTCCTAAAACTTAAAATCAAAAACCAATCCTGCTGTCAAAGAGTTGATTCCAACCTATAGTGACCCTACAAGACATACTAGAACTACCTCAGAAGGTTCCCAAGGCTGTAAATCTTTATGGTAGCAGACTACCTCATCTTTCTTTTGCAGAGCAGCTGATGGGATCAAACTGCCAATATTTTGGTTAGCAGCAGATATGTTAAGTACATGCTTAAGTAGTGGGTAAGACATTGGACTTTTAACCAGAAAGGCAGTGGTTCAAACCTACCAGGCGCTTCATGGGAGGAAGATGAGGCAATCTACAAGATATACAGCCTTGGAAATCTAATAGGGGCTTCTATGAGTTGAAATTGACTTGATGGCAGTGGATTTGGTCTGCTTTTTTTCTTTGTTTAAGTTACTGACAAAGTGAGCAGAGCATCTCTATATGTTTTTCTGGAGATAATATTATATTTGGCATTTATGATAAAGTATTGAAGTTGTCCTGATGACAAAACCGTAACATTGTTGGCATTGTGTGCTGTTGAATTGATTCAGACTCATAGTGACCCTATGGGACAGAGAAGAACTGCCCTATAGGGCTTTTTAGGCTATAATCTTTAAGGAAGCAGATCACTAGGTCTGTTCTCTTGTGGAGCTGCTGGTGGGTTCAATCTGTCAACCTTTCATTAGCAGCTGAGTGCGTGACTGTTGTGCCACCAAGGCCCTGTTATTAGAATTAATTACACTCATTTTGAATTATGTATGTGTGGGAGAGGAGGGCACCATAATCCTTTCAATGCTTGTTGTTGTGGTTAGGGGTTGTCTAGTCAACTATGACTCATAGTGATCCTACGTACAATGGCACGAAACACTGCCCGGTCCTGTGCCGTCCTCACAATGGTTGTTATGCTTGAGCCCATCTTTGCAGCCACTGTGTCATTCCATCTTGTTGAGGGGCTTCCCCTTTTCCGCTGACCCTCTGCTTTACCCAGCATGATATCCTTTTTCGGGGACTGGTCCCTTCTGACAACATGACTGAAGTACAAGAGACAAAGTATGGCCATTGTTACCTCTAAGGAGCGTTTTTACTATACCTCTTCCAAGATAGATTTGTTCTTTCTTCTGGAAGTCCATGGTATTTTCAAAATTCTCCACCAACATCAGAATTCAAATGCATCAATTTTTCTATGGTCTTCCTTGTTAATTGTCCAGCTTTCACATGCATATGAGACTATTGAACATACCATGGCTTGGGTCAGGTGCACCTTAGTCTTCAAAGCAACATCTTGCTCTTTCAATGCTTTGAGTCTGCATAAAACTTAAGCCAGCTCTGTTAACTCACAGAGGAAAGATGCTGGTTCCTCCCTTGCCCAATGAATGCCATTCATTTTTTTGGAATCTGAGTTCATTTGAAATTCCAGCTTGCCCTGCTGGGTTCCATGGGTCTCATCAACCAAAATTTAAAGACAGCTGAATGCAGCTCAGATTCCCACTCCGTACTTAGTTCTACCTATAAAACATTCTTAACACAGAGAGAGATGTGTTGAGTTTCAAGATCGCTGTATCAGAGGCTTATCCTTGGCTTTTGGGGAAAATATTATGATTGTAATGCGTACTAGCAGCCATAGAGTCACCTCTTAGCATGAACAGATGGTTTATCTGCAAAAGCACTGAGTAAAATAACCTCTAAGAAGGTTGAGATGGAGGAAAAGTCTGCCTTTCTTCCTGTGTCTGGCATACATAGGATGCCTATAGTAAATATTTGTTGAATAATTTTCTGAATCACTATTTGTTCATATTAAGTAAATGGGCAGAGCAAAGGTACCAGGTTTACCCTTCTCTTGCAGAGCATTGAAAAGGATGATGAGGAAATTTGTTCTATTCCTTCCTCCCTTCTTGCATTCTTTTACTTAAGAAAATGATTCTCAAACGTGAAAAAGAAGCATTTATAGGTAACATTTTCCTTATCCAATTCCATTAGCCTGTGAGATGGAAGACAGTGTTTGGCTAGTGCCTCTGATAGCACCATTTCCTTTAGTCTGAGCAAAGCCACCTCTTATTGCAGGGGTCTCTAAGGATTTCCTTTGTGCTGTGGAGATGGTGGTGGTAAAGCAAATCCAAATGTAAGTGTACAATTTAATTTTGAGGCCATGCCTCTGTGTAAAGTAAAATTTGTATCATTTTTCCAAAATTTTCATTGTATGGAATTGTTTTCCTTCAAGGAATGATTGAGTTGAAAAACTGTTGTGTTCTTTACAATATTGCAATTACCTTTTCTCTTCTCATCAGTTCTTTCTTGAAGACCATGATAATACATCCTAACTTACCTTTCCAACATTATCTCTTACAAATACCCTCCATTAGCCCTTTATTCAGTCAGTCTGAACCACTGATCTTTCCCTCAATTATTCTTGTACTTTTTTTTGTATGTTTCTTCTTTTTTGAATGCTTTCTTTCCCTGAATTCTTATATTGAGATTTGTTTACTGAATTATTTATGTAAGTTACAACATACCCCACAAAGGATTTAAAGAGCATAACTTATCTCAAATGGAGCTTCTTCTGTGAAAGGTGGCTTTCCCACTTGTAGATTATATGAACTTGGTCAAGGTACTTACCCTCGCCATGCTTCAGTTTTCTCATCTGTAAAATTGGAAAGGGTAATTGTGGATGCTGGTAGTAATGAAACAGAGTGGCAAGAGAAAAAGAAAGGTTACTATTTTAAATAGGGTGGTCAGGGTATGCCTTATTGAGAACATGAGACTTGAGTGAAGACTTGAAGGAGGACCTTTGGGTATTTGGAGGAAGAGCCTTCTAGGTACATCATATCATATCCCACCACCACTGAGTAGATTCCAACTCATAGCAACCCTTTAGGACAGAGTAGATCTGCCCTATAGAATTTCTCAGGCTGTAATCCTCATGGAATCAGACTACCACATCTTTCCCCCATGGAATAGCTGGTATGTTTGAACCTCAACTCTTTTGGTTAGCAGCTAGAGCTTAACCACTGCTCTTCCAGGGCTCCTTGGTAGAGGCGATAGTACAAATTCCGTAGGGTAGCAGTATGCCTGGCATGTTCAAAGAATAGTAGGATCTCATTGTGGCTGGATCAGAGGGGTGAGGGAAAGAGGAATAGAAGATGAGATCAGAAAGATAATAGGGGCCAGATTTCATAAGTCCTTGTAGGCATTGTGTAGGAGACTTGGTGGCATGCAGTGGTTAAGCACTCAGTTGCTAACCAAGAGGTCAGTGGTTCAAACCTGCCAGTTGCACAAAGGGAGAAAGATGTGGCTATCTGCTTTTGTAAAGATTTACAGCCTTGGAAACCCTATAGGGCAATTCTCCCCTGTCCTATAGGATTACTCTGAGTCAGAATTGACTCAATTGCAATGGGTTTAGTTTGGTTTTTAAAAGAGATCCACAAGGAGCCCTGGTGTGCAATGGTTAAGTGCTCAGATGCTAACCAAAATTTGGCAGTTCAAACTTACCTGTTGCTCTGTAGGAGGAAGATGTGACAGTCTGCTTCTGTGGGGGAAAAAAAAAAAAAAAAAAAAGATGCCAGCCTTGGAAACCATATGGAACAGTTTTACTCTGTCCAATAGGGTCACTATGAGCCAGAATTCACTTGGTAACAATGAGTATAACCATTGTTAGGACTTTGGCTTTTATTCTGGGTGAAATGGTGAGAATTTGCAGACTTTTGAACAGAAGAGTGATATGTTTGACTTAGGTTTTTACAGGATCACTTTGGTTACTGTGATTTCCTTAAATTGTTTCTAGTAGTCATCTTGCTAGTAATGATACTGGTGCTATTTTTCAGAAACTATTATATATGTAGTAGAATAAAGCAAATAAATAAATTATGTTAATGTTGTTAGGAAACAAGATGTTCAGCATAAGAGAAAGATAAAAATATTAAATCAAATACAAAGTCAAAGAAGTTGGGTAAAATCTTTGTAATCCTAAAGCTTAAGTGAAAAAGGCCAAACAATGACCAACCCAAGTGTCAATAAGAATTCCGACCAATCAGGGATTTCAGTCAACATCACAAAAGTGTGCATGAATTGTTGAATGGAAAAGCAATTTCTTTTGTAACCTTTCATCCAAATCACAATAAAAAGTTGAAAGAAAAAAAAAAAAAGAATTTCATCCATTCAGATGTGGTCTTTAAATGCCATTTCCTTCTAAAATAAACCAGAACTCCTTAGATATCACACCCTGCTGGACCAGCACCAGGGGCACAGATCAGATTCTCAAAAAAGAGGCAGAAAAAGCCAGGTAATCAGATCTAGCTTTTATTGGGGAACTTACAAACAGGGTTGGTGCCAAGATTCCCTCAATGGACAGTGACATGCTGAGTCACCCTAGTAGAGGTCTGCACAGGGAAGCATGAGGTGTGGATTTATATACCATCTAATATGTAGGGAGAACAACATGCCCATGTGCAGGTGAACCAGGAAAAAATATGTGTATCTATGATGGATGGAGTTGCTTTTGTATTAGTTAATCCGCTGCAAAAGACTTCTTTAAAGTATTAAGAAGCAAAGATGTCACTTTGAGGACTAAGGTGCTGCTGACCCAAGCCACGATATTTTCAATTGCTTCATATGCATGCGAAAGGCAGACAATGAATAAGGAAGACTGATAAAAAATATTGATGCATTTAAATTATGGTGTTGGTGAAGAATATTGAAAATACCATGGACTGCCAAAACAAACAAATCTGTCTTGGAAGAACTATAGCCAGAATGCTCTTTAGAAGCGAGGGTGGCAAGACTTCATCTCATGTACTTTGGACATGTTAAAAGGAGGGATCAGTCCCTGGAGAAGGACTTGGCAAAGTAGAAGGTCAGGGAAAAAGAGGAAGACCCTCAATGAAATGGATTGATAAAGTGGCTGCAACAGTGGGCTCAAACATAGCAATGACTGTGAGGATGATGCAGGACCAGGCGATGTTTTGTTCCATTGCACATTGGGTAGCTATCAGTTGAAACTGATTTGACAGGCCCTTAACAACAGCCACTCCTCAGAAGAAAGGTTGGGCAATCTACTTCTGTAGTGATATACAGCCTCAGAAACCCAAGGAGCGGTCACTATGAGTCGGTTCCAACTCGATGGCAGCAACATAACAACAACAATGGATTTCAGTTGATGTTATCACAAAGCCAGATGTTTGGTGTGTTTTTTGTCTTTGCCTAGGTTGCTAACTCAGTAAGATACTCTGGTTCTCTCCCAGAGTCCTTTGTAGGTAGGATTCATCTTGTATTGTTCATGGCTCTCTCACACTTAGAGAAACATCAGATTCCACATCTAGGGCAGGAAATATACAAGATAATACCAGAAAGTGAAGAAAGTATCAGTGATTACTGGAGTCATGTCAAAAGGACTCTGGAAATAACCTGAGAGACTATCATAGTCCAAAATGGGACAACATATGTTTCAAAATGAACAATAACTATAATGGATTGAAACACACCAAATACATTAAAATCTATGAGTTCATAATGATATTAAAAACAAAAATCTTAGAGGTTATCTTTGAAGTATTCTAGAGAACAAACTCATTATTTTGAAAATTAGTAAATAAAAGAATCAAGCGTCTATCTTGCCTTTCCTTAAATAATGAAATATGTAATGAGAGGAAAGTTTCTGTATATAGCAGAATTCTAGCTAATAAATGAAGATGGTATATTAAAATTAAAATATCATCATTTTTTCAGCTTCCAGTGAAATAATAATCCACCATTCATCTGTCAGTTTGCTGTACTGTGGTGACTTGCATGTTGCTGTGAGGCTGGAGGCTATGCAATTGATATTTGGAATACTAGCAGGGTCACCCATGGTGGGCAGGTTTCAGTGGAGCTTCCAGACTAAGACAGACTGAGAAGAAGGACAGGGCCATCTACTTCCGAAAAAAATTGACCACTAAAAACCATATGAGTAGCAGTGAAACACTGATATATTACTGGACAGCTTTATGAATAACATTGTCTGGTATAGTGCTGGAAGATGAATCTCTTAGGTTGGAAGGCACTGAAAGTATGACTGGGAAAGAGCTGCCTCCTCAAAGTAGAGTCAACCTTAATGACATGGATGGAGTAAAGCTTTTGGGATCTCCTTTTGCTGATGGGGCATGACTTAAAATGGGATGGAACAGCTGCAAGCATTCATTAATAATCAGAACATGGAATGTAGACAGTATGAATCTAGGAATATTGGGAATTGTCAAAAGGAGCTCTGGTGGAGTAGTGCCTAAGGCATGTGATTGCTAATCAGAAGGCTGGCGGTTCAAACCCACCAGCCACTCCTCTGAAGGAAGGTTGGGCAATCTACTTCCATAGTGATACCGCCTTGGAAATCCAAGGAGGGGTCTCTATGAGTTGGATGTGACTCGATGGCAGTGGGTTTGTCAAAAGGAAATAGAACACATAAAGATTAATATCCTAGGCATTAGGGAGCTGAAATGGACTGGTATTGGCCATTTTGAACCAGACAATCATATGTTCTACTATGGAAGGAATGCAAAATTGAAAAAGAATGGCATCACACTCATTGTCAAAAAGAAATTTCAAGATCTATCCTGAAGTACAAAACTGTCAGTGATAGGTTAATATCCTTATGCCTCCAAGGAGACCAGTTAATACCACTATTATTCAAATTTATGCACCAACCACCAAAGCGAAAGATGAAGAAATTAAAGATTTTTACCAACTTCTGTAGTCTGAAATTGACTAAACATGCAATCAAGATGCATTGATTTGATGGAATACCCATTAAGACATTTCAGCAAATGGATGTTTCAACAAACAGATGCAGTACTGGAAACTCTGACTTGATTATGCCAAGAAATTTGGAAGACAGCTACCTGGTTAATTGACTAGAAGAGAGCCATATTTGTAGCCATTCCAAAGAAAGGTGATCCAACAGAATGTGGAAATTATTGAACAATATCATTATTATCACACACAAGTAAAATATTTCCTGAAGTTAATTCAAAAATGGTTGCAGCAGTATATTGACAGGGAACTTCCAGAGATGCTAGCTGGGTTATGAAGAGGATGTAGAATGAGGGATATCATTGCTGGTGTCAGATGGATGTTGGCTGAAAGCAAAGAATACCAGAAAGATGTTTACCTGTCTTTTATTGACTATACAAAAACATTTGACTGTGTGGATCATAACAAATTATGGATAACATTGCGAAGAGTGGGAATTCCAGAACACTTAGTTGTGCTCATGAGAAGCATGTACACAGACCAAGAGGCTGTTCAAATAGAACCAGGGAATACTGTATAGTTCAAAATCAGGAAGGGCATGCATCAGGTTTGTATCTTTCACCATATTTATTCAATCTGTAGAAGGAGCTCTGGTGGTGTAGTGCCTAAGACATTTGACTGCTTACCAGAAGGTTGGTGGTACAAACCCCCCACCCACCCCGCAGAAGGAAGACTGAGCAATCTACTTCCATAAAGATTTACTGCCTCGGAAACACAAAGGTGGGTCACTATGAGTCGGAATCAACTTGCTGGCAGTGAGTTTGGTTTTTGGTTTTGGTTTATTCAATCCGTATGCTGAACAAATAATCCAAGAAGCTGGACTATATGAAGAAGAATGTGGCATCAGGATTGGAGGGAGATTCATTAACAACCTGCGATATGCAGATGACACAACCTTGCTTGTTGAAAGTGAAGATGACTTGAAGCACTTATTGATGAAGGTCAAAGACTACAGTCTTCAGTATGGATTATACCTCAACATAAAGAAAAGAAAAATCCTCACAACTAGACCAATAAGCAATATCATGATAAATAGAGAAAAGATTGAAGTTGTCAAAGATTTAATTTTATCTGGATCCACAATTAACACCTATGGAAGCAGCAGTCAAGAAATCAGACATTGAATTGCACTAGGCCAATCTGCTGTAAGGGACTCTTTAGCTAAAGAGCAAAAATATCACTTTGAAGACTAAGGTGCATCTAACGTAGGCCATGGTATTTTCAATCATCTCATATGCATGTGAAAGCTGGACAATGAATAAGGAAGACCAAAGAAAAATTGATACCTTTGAATTGTGGTGATGCTAAAGAATACTGAAAGTACTATGGACTGCCAGAAGAAGGACAAATCTGTCTCAGAAGAAATGCATCCAGAATGCTCCTTCGAACCAAGAATGGCGAGACTTGTCTCACCTACTTGGGTCATATTGTCATAAGGGACCATTCCCTGGAGAAGGATATCATGCTTGGTAAAGTGGAAAGTCAGAGAAAAAGAGAAAGGCCCTCAATGAAATGGATTGACACAGTGGCTGCAAAGATGGGCTCCAACATAACAAGAATAGTGAGAATGGTGCAGGAGCAGCCAATGTTTCATTCTGTTGTATGTAAGGTCACCGTGAGTTGGAATTGACTCAACAGCACAGTAACAATAACACCAATAGTGAGATAATGCATCTAGGCAATGATTATCAATAACTGCTGAAATATCCAGTAAAAGCAAAACAACATTTGAACCCACTAATCAATTTTAACAAAGCAAAAATAAATTCAATCAGATATTTTATGTCTCCCGATGATATGTAGTAGGAAATATACAGCAACAGTTCTGAAGTGTTCTTGCCAAAAGAAAAAAAAAAAAAAGAATCTGAACAAATCTTCATATCTTTGTTATATAATATAAATATGTTAAATGATATCATACAGATGCAATCAGGAAAATCCACAATGTCAGAAAGTTCATAGAACAAATGACCTGATTTTATCAACAAATAAATTGCAAGAAATGAAAGAGAAGGAGAATTTATAGACTAATAGAGATAGGAGCTCTGGTAGCATAGTGGCTAAGACACTTGCCTGCTAACCAGACGGCTGGCGGTTCAAACCCACCAGCCACTCCTCGGGAGGAAGGTTGGGCATTCCTACTTCCGTAGTGATACTGCCTCGGAAACCCAAGGAGGGGTCACTATGAGTCGGGGCCGACTCGATGGCAAACAACAACAACAACAGAGACTTAAGATATGTATTACCAAATGCAATGTATAAATTTTATCTGAAATTGTAAAAAAAATGTATTATGAGACAATTATAGAAATGTGAGCAATAGATTCTTGATAACAATAAGAAATCGCTGTTCATTTTCTTAAGCTGCACTAACGATGTTACTATGTTTAAAAGTTTATATTTTAGAGACACATAAAAGTATTTATGGATGAAAAGGTATGATGTCTGGGATTTGCTTGGAAATAATCTGTTAAGGGAGTCCCTGGGTGGTGCAAATGGTTAACACACTCAGCTGCTAACTTAAAAGTTGGTGGTTCTTGTCCGCCCAGAGGTGCCTTGCAAGAAAGTCTGATGATCTACTTCCAAAAAATCAGCCACTGAAAATCCTGTGGAGCACAGTTCTACTCAGACACACATGGGATCACAGTGAGTGGGAATCAACTCAATAGCAACTGCTTTGGGTTTTCAATCAGTTATGGGATGTATGTGGGGATATAGACTAAACAAAATGGGTCATTTGCTGATAATTGTTGAAATCAGATTATAAATACATGGGTTTCTTTTTCTTTGAAAAAAGAATGTTTCCAAGACTTTTGTTATGGCCAACTGGAAAGATGACATTGCCATCAACTGGGATGGAGAAGGCTGCAAGTAGGGGAGGTTTGGTTAAAAAAAAAAAAAAGGAGGAATTCAGTTTTATTTTAATTCTTTACTGTGATTTGGGTGCAAATTTACAAAGCAGATTTGTTTTAGTCTCAACAGTTGATACATATTTTGTTTCACAGCACTGATTACAATCCCAGCAATAAACAGCTCTCCTCTCATCTCCCCGTGACTACCCCTTCCCTGTGTCCTGCATATATACATTCCTGCCTGTCCAGCTTTCTCCCTATGCACATGCTACCCTTCTGATCTCTCATGGTTGATTGATTTAAGGGGTGCCTCTCCCTGGGGTAGGTGGTTGCATCTCCCTGGAGTGAGTGGGTGCATCTCCCTCGAGTAGGTATTCTGCTCCTAGGCTTTTCTACTATTTGGATGAGAGCTAATCCTCAGAAGTGAGTTTAGTTCCAGGTTCAAAGGATAACTTGGCCATAACCTTGAGGAGTTTTGCCAATCTCTATCTGACTAGTAGCTCTGGTCATTTTTGTGTTTTTGAATTTTGTTCCAGGGAGTTCAGTTAATCACATTGAATTTGAGATGCCAGCTGGGCATCCAAGTGGAGATATTGAATAGGCAATTAGATATACAAGTTTGGAATTTGGGAAAAAGGTCTTGGCTGGATATATAAATTTAGAAATCATTGGTATATACAAACCAAAAAACTCCAAGAAACCAAACCCACTGCTATAGAGTCAATCCTGACTCATAGTGATGTGACTCTATAAAACAAAGTAGGACTGCTCCCTGGGGTTTCCAACACTAAATCTTTCAGAAGCAGACTGACACATCTTTCTCCCCCAGAGTGACTGTTGGGTTCGAACCATGATCTTTTGGTTAGCAGCCGAGCTTATAACCATTGTGCTACCAGGGATCCTTCATTGGCATATATGGTATTTATAGCAATTAGACTGGATGATATCAGAAAAGGAGTGAGGGTAGATAGAGTTTGTTGTTGTTGTTGTTAGGTGCTGTGGAGTTGATTCCGAATCATGGAGACCCTATGTACAACAGAATGAAACATTGCTGGATCCTGCGCCATCCTCACAATCCTTGCTATGCTTGAGTCCGTCGTTGGCAGCCACTGTTTCAATCCATCTCATTGAAAGTCTTCCCCTTTTTTGCTGACCCTCCACTTTACCGAGCATGATATCCTTTTGCAGGGCCTGGTCCCTTCTGAACACATGATGAAAATAGGTGAGACAAAATCTGGCCTTCTAAGGAGCATTCTGGCTGCACTTCCTGGGTAGATTTTGTTTGTACTTCTGGCAGTCCTTGGTATTTTCAGTATTCTTTGCCAACACCACAATTCAAAGGGATCAATTCTTTTTTGGTCTTCCTTATTCGTTGTCCAGCTTTCACATGCATATAAGGCAATTGAAAATATTATGACCAGGGTTAGGCACACCTTAGTCTTCAAAGTGACATTTTTGCTCTTTAACACTTTAAAGAGGTGTAGCAGTTTAGCACTATGTTCTAAGTTCTTTTTTTTTTTTTAAATCTGCTGCAAAATCTAGACCTTAGAATGTAGTAAAGTACTGAATAAATGTTCATTATAATCATATAACTAAAATTCATTCTTCCTTTCCCCAAGCAAATGCAATGTCTTTATCCATAAACTTCTATAGCACGATTATTGTGTCTTGTAATATGTTGTTGTTGTTATGTGCTGTCGAGTTGGACCCGACTCATAGCAACCCCTTCTTGGGTTTCCGAGGCAGTATCACTATGGAAGTAGATTGCCCAACCTTCCTTCCGAGGAGTGGCTGGTGGATTTGAACCGCCAGCCTTCTGGTTAGCAGTCAAGTGCCTTACGCACTACGCTACCAGAGCTCCCATCTTGTAATATAGTTATTTGTATATATGTTTTATCTCCTCTATAGATTGTAAGGGAGCTCTGGTAGCATAGTGGCTAAGATACTTGCCTGCTAACCAGACGGCTGGCGGTTCAAACCCACCAGCCACTCCTCGGAAGCAAGGTTGGGCAATCCTACTTCCGTAGTGATACTGCCTCAGAAACCCAAGGTGGGGTCGCTATGAGTCGGGGCCGACTCGACGGCACAGAACAACAACAACAATAGATTGTAAGTTCTTTGAAAGTAGGACCTAGATCTTAATCATTCTTATATGCTGCTTCCTTTCCATCACCACTATTGAGCCAGAATGGTGCCTTACCCTTAAGTGAGTAGAAATTAATAAATGAACTGGCACCTATGCTTGAGTTTGTGAAGATTTTTCATCAGAACTGTAGGATTTCTCACCTTTTCTGGCTTCTGCTTCATGAAATTTCCTATGGTCACAGGCTTCTGTGTGAGCAGGGTCATGATGTATGGTGTTGTTTTTGCCACTAGTTAGCACATTACCTCTGTGTAGTCCAGATTAGACTTTGGTACCCAAACCTCACCTAAGGCACAACAGAGGGAAGAGAGGTGAATGTGGGTGGGGTCACTTAGAATACAGTGAGGAGACATAGGGAAAGTAAGATCCAAGACTAGGCACTATTTGCCCATTCATTAATGACTAGGAATCATCTTGATGTCCTTGTCCCCTGAAGTTGTTACTGGGGTCCTAGAGACCCTGAGCAGGAATCCTTGCCTTCTCCTGACAAAGAATTTAACAGGAGCGGCAAAATGTCCACACAAACAAAAGTTTATTAAAGAGAAAGGAGAGAGTAGGGGCCCATGAGGGAGACACTGAGAGGGGCTTTTGCCTATGCTAGCCTCTGGTCTCTCACTGAATAAAGGATTTCCTAGAGTTTTAGGAAAAAAAGGTTTTACGTAGGGGAAAAAAGGAGTCATCTTTATTCATAAAATGGGCAGGTTTTTTTTTTTTTTTTTTTTAAATTGTGTTTTGGGTGAAAATTTACAGAGCAAATTCACTTTCCATACAGCAGTTCACATACACTTTGTCTCATGACATTGACCACAATTTACCACAATGCAACAGCTCCCCTCCCACTTTCTTCCAATAATTATCTCTTCCCTGTGTCCATCCCTCCATCCACTCCTGCGGGAATTTCTGAGAAAAAGGTGGCGTTATGAAAATCAGATGTATGTGCAGGAAGTAGCCAAGATGGATTCCAACACAAAGGCTGTTTGAACAAAAATGCAACCTACTGCAAAGCCTGCTGGGCACATGCACATGATGTCTCTGGACCCTAGTTTGGGTCCCTGTGAAACCAAAAACCAAACTCATTGCTGTTGAGTTGGATCTGACTCATAGCAATCCCTCCTTGGGTTTCTGAGGCAGTTTCAATATGGATGTAGATTACCCAGTCCTATTTTTGACTGCCTGTGGTGGAAGGTCACTTTGTTGGTCAATGAATTTTACTGTGCATGCATGCTCTGCATCTGGTGAGGTACTTGAAGGACAACTCAGGAGATTTATCAGCATTTTACAAGGGTCAAGCTTGTGGGGCTTTTGAATGTAACTTCTTATTTTGCCTAATGGCCTGGTTTATTGGTTGCAAGCAGTTCTCTGTCACCAGCAGCAATGTGGTGGTCTGCCACATAACTATTCCAAGAATACTAGTCAGAGGCTGCTTGATTCAGCCAGCCCTACTCAAAGTGTCTTCTTATTTTCTTCTTAGATTTCTCAGCCCCAGTACATAAATACTTCCTTCTCCCAATTGAGAGTTAAGAGTTTCAGGAATAGCTGGAAATTGTTTTTGTTTTGTTTTAATCAGGGAAATGGCCCACACAGTTATAGAGGCTGGCAAGTCCCAAGTTTTTGGGTCAAATGTCAAGATGGAGGTTTTGTCTGACTTATGCAGTTGCAGGGGTTGACGAACCAAAGATCAGCAGGGAGTATGGCAGGCTGCTGACTTGATGGATGATGAATCCAAGAGCAGCAGGCAAAATGGCAGATTGTTGGCTCATAGGACAGTTGTAGAGGCTGGCAAGTCCCAAGTTTATGGATCAAATGTCAAGATGGAGGTTTTTCTTGACTCATGCAGCTGCAGGAGCTGACGAACCCAAGATCAGTAGGCAGCATGACAGGATCCAGATCCAATAGGAAGTTTTCAGATTTTCCTGGGACATCCATAGGTATATTGGAAGCAGGTCACACCCCTAAGAAAAATCCCTTTCAAATGATTGGCTGCTCAAAGCATATCCCACCCCATCATGGAGATGACTGACTACCTTATGTTAGCTCTCATCATGGGAACAAACACACCACAACTGCTTAAACCACTCAGAATCATGGTCCAGCCAAGCTGATAAATAACCTTAACTATCACAACCTACAAGTGGGATTATTGTCTATATGGAAGTTCTATTTTTAGTTTTTTGAGAAACTGACACACTATTTTCAACAATGTACCATTTTGCATAAAGTTTTCCAGTAACATATCAGACAGTGTTTCACTGCTATTCATAAGGTTTTCTCTGGCCAATTGTTTGAGAAGTGGATGGTCTCTTCCTTCTTCCGAGTCTGTCTTAGCCTGGAAGTTCTGCTGAAACCTGTCCACCATGGGTAACCCTGCTGGCATTTTGCAACACCGGTGGCATAACCTCCAGCCTCACAGCAACATGTAAGCCACCACAGGATGACAAACTAACAGACAAGTTCATTTCCTTTAGCTGTCTGCCTACCTTGGGCAATGGCCTTAGAATAGAGCTGCCCCCAAGCAAAAAGCAGCCTCCAAGCCCTGGACCCACCTACCTAGGGCACAGGCCTTAAAATAGAGCCACCCCCAAGCAAAAACCAGGCCCTGAGCCCTGGGCCTGCTTACCTCAGGTCCCGGTCTTAATATTGAGCCACCCTCAAGCGAAAAGTAGCCCCCAGGGCCAAGATAGTGTCTTAGCTTCAGTGAAATATGAGTGGAGAGTAGCTAAAGCAATAGAAGAAATGACAAGATGAAAGAGCTGAACAGAAGATTTCAAAGAGCAGCTCAAGAAGACAAAGCTAGTTACTGTAATGAAATGTGCAAAGACCTGGAGTTAGAAAACTAAAAGGGAAGAACATGCTTGGCATTTCTCAAGCTGAAAGATCTGAGGAAAAAAATTTTTAAGCCTTGAGTTGCAATATTGAAAGATTCTATGGGCAAAATATTGAATGATGCAGGAAGCATCAAAAGAAGATGGAAGGAATACATACACAGAGTCACTGTACCAAAAAGAATTTATCAACGTTCATCCATTTCAGGAGGTGGCATATGTTCAAGAACCAATGGTACTGCAGGAAGAAATCGAGGCTAAACTGAAGGAATTGGTGAAGAACAAGACTCCAGGAATTGATGGAATACCCATTGAGATGTTTCAACAAATGGATGCCTTGCTGGAGGCACTCAGTCGGTATGCCAAGAGATTTGGAAGACAGCTACCTGGCCAACTGACTGGAAAAGATCCATATTTGTATCCATTTCAAAGAAAGGGGATCCCACAGAATGTGGAGATTATCAAATAATGTCATTAATATCACATGAAAGTAAACTTTTACTGAAGATAATTCAAAAATGGTTGCAGCAGTACATTGACAGCTTCCAGAAATGCAAGCTGGATTCAGAAGAGGACGTAGAATAAGGGATATGTTTGCTAATGTCAGATGGATCTTAGCTGAAAGCAACGAATTCCAGAAAGATGTTTACTTATATTTTATTGGCTCTGCAAAAGTATTTGATTATGTGAATCATAACAAATTATGAATAACATAGAGAAGAATGGGAATTCCAGAACACTTAATTGTACTCATGAGGAACCTGTACATAGACCAGGCTGTTGTTCAGAACAACAGAACAAGGGGATACTGCATGGTTCAAAATCAAGAAAGGGAGTGTGTCAAGGTTATATCCTTTCACCATACTTGTTGAATTTGTATGCTGAGCAAATAATTCGATTAACTGGATTATATGAAGAAGAACATGGCATCAGGATTGGAAGAAGACTCATTAACAACCTGCGATACACAGATGACACAACTTTGCTTGCTGAAAGTGATGATGACTTGAAGCACTCACTGACAAAGATTAAAGATTACAGTCTGCAGTATGGATTACACCTCAATATAAAGAAAACAAAAATCTTCACAACTGGTCCAATAAACAACTTCATGGTGGATGAAGATAAGATTGAAGTTGTCAAGGATTTCATATTACTTGTTTCTGCAATCAACACCAGTGTAAGAAGACATCAGATGACAAATTGCCTTGGGTAAATCTGCTGCAAAAGACCTCTTTCAAGTGATGAAGAGCAAAGATGTCTCCTGGAAGACTAAGGTGCACCTAACCGAAGCCATGGTATTTTCAATCACTTGTTATGCATGCGAGAGCTGGGCAATGAATAAGAAGAACGAAGAAGAGTTGATGCTTTTGAGTTGTGGTGTTGGAGAGGAATGCTAAGAGTACCATGATCTTCTAAAAGGACTAACAAACCTGTCCTGGAGAAAGTGCAGCTGGAATGCTCCTTGGAAGCAAGAATGGCCAGACTTCGTCTCACTTACTTTGGTCATGTTAGAAGGAACCATTCCCTGGAGAAGGATATTATGCTTGGTAAAGTGAAGGGTCGACGAAGAAGAGGAAGACCCTCAACAAGATGGACAGACACAGTGGTTGCAACAATGGGCTTAGGGTATAGCAAAGATCGTGAGGCTGTCACAGGACCGGGCAGTGTTTCGTTTTGCTGTGCATAAGGTTGCTATGGGTCAGAGATGACTCGATGGCACCTAACAAGAACACCATTTTGTGTTTCCACCAGCAGTGAGTAAGGGATCCATTTTCCCCACATCCTAACCAACATTTGTTATTTTCTGTTCTTTTTATCTTAGTTGGGAGCTCTGGTGGCATAGTGGGAACTCTGGTGGCATAGTGCCTAAGGCATTTGACTGCTAACCAGAAGCCTGGCAGTTCAAACCCACTAGCCACTCCTCAGAAGGAAGATAGGGCAATCTACTTCTGTAGTAATATTACCTCGAAAACCGAGGAGGGGTCGCTGTGAGTTGGATCCAACTTGACAGCAATGAGTTTGGTTTTTTGTTTTGTGGTTTTGATTTGTGTCTCTCTGATGGCTAATGACATTGAGCATTTTCCCATGTGTTTGGTGGCTATTTGAGTGTTCTCTTTGGTGAAATGTCTCTTCAAGTCTTTTGCCCATTTTATGATAGGGTTATTTGTCTTTTTCTGGTTATTTTTTGAAGTTTTATATATATATTGTTTATTAGATTCTTATGGGATATATGGTTTCCAAAGATATTCTCCCAGTCTATAGCTTTTTTTTTTTTTTTTTAAACTTTTTGGTAGCCTTTTGATGAACAAAAGTTTTTTTTTTCCTTAGAAGGTCCCATTTATCTATTTTATCTTTTGCTGTTTATACTTTCATTATTATGT